CACGACTGTTGTTTATCGCTGAAACTTTAACTTCAGAGGTTTGGTGCTGCGTATATACTTTGAACTGAAGTTAAAGCACAGGATCTTATATACCTCAAGGCATTTGTAACTAACACTTTCTGAATTAAAAAAGTCTGTTTCACCTTTTCTGAAATTTAACTCTTTAACCTACTTTTCAAGTCTTTGACGTTAAAAATTTTTAACACTAAATCAAGTGGGAAGAAAGAAAATTGTTGATTTCATAATAAAAAATGATTTGCTACTTTTAAAGATTATTTTCTTGTTTTTTAATTTTTTTTTATCAAATTTTCTTTGCACTTTAATAAAAATGAGAACTTGACAGTATATAATTTGGTTTTAAAGTTATCGATGAATGCAAAAATGTAGAAAAATTACCATTAACGTGTAATTTTGAGAGAAAATTACACATTACCATAAACGTTCACGATCATTAGATACAGGTCTCTCATCGAAATAACGATAATAATCCATTTTTGCCTTTAAAATACTTTCTAGTGGAATTAAACTTCCCTCTCACATAATCCCTTCTAATTGTTGTCATTTTCCATTTTCAACCGATATTCACAACTGCTTTTTAAATTGAAAACAAAATATAAAACATTTTCTAAACTTAGTTTTAAATAATAAGATCTTTTTGTCGAAAATTGATTGTTGTAAATTTTTGTTCTGATAAATACACAAAGAAGAAAGGAAAGAGAGTGGAATTAATATTATCAGAAATTGTCATCAGAAGTTCAGTGGATTATATTCACAAACCTCAAAATCGGACTGGAAGTTAAACGTTACAGCGTTTATTTCACTTTGACGTGACCGCATTTCCTCCCCTTTTACCCACTCCCTTCAACTCATTGGGGTAAACTCGTTGGTTTCTCCATCGATTTCAAACCTCAGGGCCCCATATCCTTTGGGATTCAAGCACGAAAGTTACACTTCACGTTATAAATCTTTCCTCTCTGATTTGTGTCCGATTTCCGCTTGTTTCATTTAAAAATATCGATATATCAAACTTTGAAAAGAAAAAAGAGAGAAAAAGACAAGAAAAAATGGGAGGAAGATTATTTTATGAAGATTATTATAAATATTATTTTGAAATTTATTGTGCAAGAAAGGGTGTGCCAAACACTTTAGGAGGAGTTGTCGAAATGAAATTGCACGAAGCTCCCTGACGATAATAGTATATGTATGGGTGAAACTTGAGGAAATTTAACTCATTAATATTTAACAGCTCTTATAGTTTTACTAATGGGACAAGTTGTCACAGACGGAATTAACCGTCGATAGCTCTCAAACTAATTAACTAGATAAGTCTTTGTGATACCTCTGGGTAGTTCACTAAAGGTGCTAACTTTCAAGGAGCCTCGTGAGACGGAAGTCTATATATGTACTGTATACATCTGCTTTCCTGTAACTATAAGTTTTTCAACTGTCTTTACACATGGAAAGAAATGTTTTTCAAAAATTTAATAAACAGATTATTAAAATTGGGCTATTCGATGTTTGCTATAAAAATGTTATCGAGGATTTCTCGGGATGCGAATAACGAGTTTAAAGTCAGTTTTTAAAAATTCAAAATGGCGAATCCAATATGGCGAATGACTTGTTTATATTTGTCGGATTCGTTTAAATTTTGTTATTCGGGGGTTTTCAGAGTCACTGATTACGAATCCGAAGTCAGTTTTTAAATATTTAAAATGGCGGAAGATTTTATGAAAATTCATTTGAGTTTGCGACAAATGAATATAAGGTAAACGTTACAAAACAGCGTTCAATTTTTTTGTTGTCAATCGAACTAAACATAGTAGTATAAAGATGAATGTCTGCTTAGTAAAGCAAACAAAGCTGATTCTATTTCAGATTTTTTAATCATATTATTAATTTACATGAAAAATAATTATATTAAAATTAATTAAAAAGCTTTGAAAAAATCAAACGAAATCTTGATAAAATGTCAGTTTTCAAAACATTTATTTGCTATAACACTTATTATTATTTATATTTATTACAATAACTATTAGATTTAACTGAACGACCGTTTAGTGAAGCTTACTTTTTGTTTTGTTGAACGAAAATGTCACCATATAGTTTAGTAACTATGACTCAGGGTTGAGTCTCTTTTAAAAATTGTAAATAAAGTTTTTCTAAAACTTAAAAAATTTCTTAAATAAATATTTAATTGTTATTTTGTATTTACAGCTCAATTGAAATTTTTTATAAATCTATGACCTTCTAAAATTTCATTACTTCTGAAAATTGCATATTTTTTTAACTAAAATTTTTTGTAAGTTAATTATAATTAATAACTTTCAAAAATTTATTGTAGATATTGTTTTGAAATTCATTATGATTGAAATGATTTTGATGAAAAAAAAATATTCAAGGAGAATTGAAAAGATTTTGAACTTTAACTTTGAAAGTCTTGCACGGAGAGAAGAAAGTAGTCAATCAAACCTCGTTATTGAGAAATTTTAATTTAATTTTTTAAAGATAGGGGAGACTGGGGCGAAAGGTTAAACTGTGAAAACAGTTAAAATTCATTATCTTTCGAACGGAAATAGTTAGAGCATTGCAATTTTAATTATAGAAGGGTGTTATCACTCTAAATAAATGTCCGGAGTTATGTGACATTCTGTTTATTTTTGTGGTGTCCATATTTAAAGTTTGTTTTCACTCTATTTTGAAAATTTTTTCGTAAAAGAAAATATCAACTTTTAAGTATATTTTTTGAATTTATTCTCATCGCGATTTTTTTAGGTCCTTATTTGGGTCCCCTGAAAAGATACCTAAAGGTATTTGCTGAATATCTTTAGTCAGATTTTTTATATTTGTTGTTAAAGCCAAAAATCCACCCTGGGGAGAAAAGTTAAATGTATTTTTACATGTTGTTAAAAATGTTTTTTACATTTTTCGTTATTTTTGGGTTTATTTGTTTAAAAATTATTTATTTGACATTAGGCAAGTACTCTGTCAAAAAACAAGACCGTTCACGTGAAATAAACAAAAAAAATTTTTTTTTTGAAATTTCAATTTATTATAGGGATCAGGAAAAAAGTAAAAAATTCTGTCTAAAAACCACTCTAAAAATTTGAATCAGTTAAAAATAACTGATTTGGAGACAAAAAGTAAGTCACTAAATCAAATAGTAATATTTTTACTGATCGTTTAAGTTAAAAATAACTGATGCTTTAGTAGATTTTCTTTAACTGATACAATTAGTCAAGTTTAAATAATTTTTTAGTTATTGTTTACTGAAAATCAGTCATTTTTTCACTTAAAATCAGTTATTTTTTAATTAATTCAGAAATAGAAAGTCAGTCACTGAATGTCAGTTAAGGCTATAATTTTTAACTGACTCAAATTTAGAGAGCAGGGAAAAATAAAATAAAATTTTCAAATTTTGTACACTTTTCTACAAAGTTTTATAAAAATTGGTTTAAAAAACGTAGTTTGGGAGAACAGAAACAAGATTCTTCATGAAAATCTTAAATAAAGGCACCGTCATAATCGAATTTAATTACGTTTTAAACGTTTTTTCTAAATTCTACTTAGAAAAATATATATCCCTATACCAAATAAGAACACAATCGATCAAACAGAATTTTTTTTAGAGTAAGAAATGTTATTTAGCCCAAAAAGCGAGACTAATAGGGTTTTTTACAGTACACTTCATGTACGGAACTCCAATCAATGATAAAAATTTGTTATGTTCGAATAACTATTGTAAATATACACTTTTTTTACTTTAGTATACTATGCTAAATATACTATGCTATATATCATATTGTACTGAAATTTAAAAGAAAGTGTTAAATTAAAAAAGAGAAAGAAGAGAGAAATTTAGAAGAAAAATTAAAATTAGAATGTAGAAGAAAGTGTAAAATATAACAAAAATTGTGCTTTTTAGAAAAATTTTAATACTTTTTTTTAAAAAATTACCATTTTGTACAGAGAAGTTGAAAAATATGTAAATTTTGATTTTGGTACGAAAGAGATATGAACGAGTGCAACTTTAGTATTGAATTATATATAAATAGGTTACATCCGCATAAAGTGGGATAGATTAATTTTTTTTCCGACCCAGAAACTGGAAGCATCTGCTTCATTATCTTTCATTACACAATGATCTAGTATATACAAGCACACATTCTCCCATCTCTGCTTTATTCCTTGATATTTGGGTCATCATCACCGCATTTGTTCCCTGCAAGATAGATTCCTTCAGTTTCTTCATTCCATACAAGAGAGCACTGACATCTAATTAATTTTACTTCACTATTTAATTTATTCCAAAAATAAGTAGGTCAGTCTTAAGTGTTAGCAATGCCCGCGGTCCAACAATTAGTGCATCCACCATCCTTTATTAGCATTTGCCTTCTGAAAATTTATTACTCATACCTTATTGATTGACTAGGGTTAATGTAGTCCCTAAATTTAAATTAGACTAATAATAATAATTTATTTTTACCAATTCAGTTACTTTATGCAAACGTACTGATCAAATCGGTATAGAATCAAAATTTTATCTATTTTCAAACAGAGAAATTAATAAAAAAAAATTAACAAAAACTGAAAAATTCTTTATTTGTTGTACTTGTAGCAAAGAATGAACCATCCTCTTTACCCGACAAACAACAACTGGAAAGTGACAAAAGTCAAAAGCAAACCGAAGTTAACTTTCTCAATCGATGAAAATTTCTATTTTAATCGAAAGGTGAATTCGATCGGTTTTAAAGTCACAAACGATGCATTAGGTACTAATTACAATATGTATAGAGAAACTTCCTGGTGTTTGATATGCACCATGCAATTATAGTCTAAACGAAAGCAAACATACATCTCAAGGACAAGAATAGTCACTAAATGTATGTTTAGTTTGAAGCAGATCGAAACTGAATTTTTAAATGCCAATGACGATAGTTGAAATGACAATGGAGAATAGCAAAACTGTAATTAGAAAGCATAAACCTTCCTGGTATTTGCATCATCCTTTCATGTGTCTTTAGCTGCCAATTAAAGTATCCTTTCTCTAGTATAGTTCAGGTGCATAAAAAACTCCCCATCGAAAATTTACAACATGCTCGTCTACAGACCCGAAGATGCCTTTAAAATGAATCTCATAATTTTCAAATTCTTCGGACTTTGGCCATCAGTTGTCAAAAATCGTACCCTAAGGTACGATTCTTAAAAATTCTAAACTTAATCGGAAATTTTTTTTCAGCCTTTTTTTATTCTGTTCTCTTTTATATACCTAATTTTATATGATTATCGAGTGTCTGGAATGTAAACGAAACAAAATGCACAATATTCAAAATTCTTTCATTCTTTATATCGAACAGACACCCACATATAGATATGCAATACAAATAAATACATAATAAATTTACAAATAAATTTAATTATCTAAATAATTTTATGTAGAAATAAATAATTTTCTTTCCTTTAAAATTTGTTTTCTTTCTTTTTAAATTTTAGATTCTTTTACACATTATACGGTTATAGTGTACAATTATTTTATATATTGGCAATATTACCGACACAATTCATCAATATTTATCTTATGCGTGATGATTTGGAAAAATTGGTTGATATCTTTTTTTTCACATTAACATGCGTTGGTTATATAACGAAACTAGTTGTTTTTTTATTACGTCGTAAGGAAATTGAAGGATTTTTCACGAGACTACATCAACCAATTTTTGCACCAAGACGTAAGGAAGATCTGACAATTTTGAAAGATTTTATTGTTTCCGCAAGAGCAAGTACGTTGATCTACGTGAGCTTGACGATACTAACAGTTGGAAGCTGGATTTTATTTCCGTTAGTTGATAACAAAGAGGTAAATTTGTTTTTCACATCAAATATATATTTTTTTATTGAAAATTCTTTTCTAAAAGTTGTTATACTTTCATTGTTAATTGTTTTTAGGAGAAAATTTTCATTTATGCGAATAAATGTTAAGATGGTGTAAAAAATAAATTGTAATTTTTGTTAAAACAACTAAATTTTAACTAATTGCGACCGAGAAGTCATTTTTTCCGATTGAATTTTTACTCATCATTTTTAAAAATGCTGGGCTAAAAAATTACATATGGTGTTTCTATCGTATTGTTTGGTCCTCTTTCGCAGAACCTAAATCAAAGTTTAATATTTAACATATGAATCGCTTTAGGAAAATTTTGGAATGACAAAATATTTGGTTCAAACTGTATGACCTCTCATTTAGAGATAATTAGAAATTTTTATTTTTTCGAAATTCAAAATGGCGTCTCAAAAATGGCGGACAAAATAACTAAAATTTCAAATAGGCAACAAAATTAATTGCAGATATATTTTCTCATCATAAATAACTAAACTCAATATAAAACTAACATCTATGATCAAAAATAGACTAATATTAAACTATATTTTAAACAATTTTTATAAACAAATTATGTTTTGAAAGACACAAATATTGTCGAAAAACATTTTTTTCATATGGCTCTTATTTTTATAGGTGCAATGAATCTTGAAGATAAAAATTATTTAGCATTATTATTTAACAATGTTATAAACAATTTTATAAATAAATCAAGAATTAACAACAATTGAAGCTGGATAAAATAGCTCTCTTTTCCATATAGACTTTTTTAATGTTTTCTTAATGAATCTTTGAGATAAAAATTGTTGATTACATTTATTTAATCAGCATTATAAACAATATTCATAAACAAATTCTGAATTAGCAACAAGTGACGGTGAAAAGATTACGTTTTTTGTTCAACATTTTTTTCAACAGGATTAATGATTCTTGAAACTCATATTTTTAAATAAAGTTTTAAACAATTGTTGTAAACAAATTACATAGTAACAATAGTAAAAGAAAAGATTGACTTTTTCACTTCAGATATAATTTGTTTATAAGAATTGTTTATAACTTTGTTGAAAAATATTAAAAATTAAATTTAATCTTCAAGTATTATTAACCCTATAAAAAATGGTAGGGAAAAAACCCATTTTCATTCATATTTAATTCCTGTTAATATGTACTCTGTTTACAACAATTGTTTATAAGACTTTATAGAAAAACACTTAGATACAAATTTAAATCTCAAGATTCATTAATCTTATATAAAAAAAAAAATAGTGAAAGAAAGAAAGAAATAGTAAAATCCTTTTCAACTTCCCTTGTTGCTAACTCGGAATTTGTTTAGAAGAATTGTTTAGAAAGCTTTTAAAATTTTAAATAAATGTAATCAATAATTTTTATCTCAAAGATTCATTAAAAGAACAGTAAAAATGTCGATGGAAGAAGGAATTATATTCTTCAGGTTCAATTGTTTTTAATTCTTAATTTGTTTATAAAATTGTTTATAACATTGTTAAAATAATAATGCTAAATAATGCTATGAGGAAGCAAAGTGTTCCAGAAATGAACACAAAAATGTACAACTTGGTAGCGGTTTTTATATTTTATATTTAAAAAAAAAGAAAAACGGACTTTTCGGACAAAATTGATTAATAATCGTTGTACATTAAGATTATGTTGTTTGTTTGTAGGATTTTAATGATATAAGAATGATTGTTTAATATTTAAATAACTATTATTATTTGTTTGTAGGATAAAGTATTATTATTTGCAGCATGGTATCCTTACAATGCGACAGTTGATCCAGCTTATGGTTACACATATGCTTCACAAACAATTTTACTTTTAACAACTGCATCCATGAATTCTCAAATAGATATGTTGACAGCAAATTTATATGTTCTCATGGTGGCACAATTGGAACTTCTTAAGCAAGATTTTCGAGAGTTGGCCACATCTGTTAAAGAAAGTGGCAGTGAACAAAAATATTCATCGCCTCAAGTGATTAAATACACAGAAGCAGTTTTACAAACAGAAGTTAATTTCGAAACTCTTATTTCTATTGACAAAAAAAAGGAAACACTTGAAATTAATGATTTTTCTGATAATTCTGAAAAATTAGACAAAATATTGAATGATAGGGTTATTATGTGTACACTACGTTATCAAGCAATTGTAAAGTAAGAATATTTTCATATCTACAGTATCTAGACTTGTAGATTGTGTCAATTCTTTTTTTAAATTGAAACAATATTGTATCCATTTTTTTTAAATTGTAACAAACATTGTATCAATTTTCTAAAAATTAAGCAATATTGCCTGGATTTTTCATCAATTTAAAGCAAACTTTGTTTCAATATTGCAGCAGTACAAGCAAAATTGTCTCAATTTTGAAAATTCAGACAACATTGTGTAAGGTATCAATATTACTGCAGTATTAAAATATTGAAGCATACATATTTATCAATTTTATTGAACAGATCTACAATCATCGTTTTATAATAAAATCATTAAAGTTTTTCATATTCAGATTTGTAAATGATGTGACAGAATTATTTCAAATTGGAGTTGTGGCACAAGTTTGCGCCAGTAGCATTATTATTTGTGCAACAAGCTACGAAATGACATCTGTAAGTTTTAAGTCAACACTGAAAAAAAATTTTTTAATTGATTCAAATAAACGATTATACTTGTCTATTATCAAATAAATATTTATTTGATAACAGACCAGCAATCGGCTGTTTGAATCAAATAATTTTTTTTCAATGAATTGATAAATAGAAAGTTAAATTAAATAAGTAAAATAAAATTTAAAAAAATTTTAATTCAAAACCCTTATTGACATTTTAGATTTCACCGACCTCTTTACAATTCTACGTCATTTTACAGTATCAGATGTGCATGTTATTTCAAATTTTCATCTACTTGTACCGAGGGAATGATATAACATTAAAGGTGAGAAAATTCAAGAAGAAAAATTTTTAAAATTACAGTGAAAAAAAATTTCTTAGTTTCTAATAACCGATTACTTGACTATTATCAAATAAATATTTACATAAATCAAATAAACTTCATTCAAATCAAATAAATAGTTTAAAATAATTTTATTTACAAATTCTAAAAAAATTAGGTTTAAAAAATTTTAATATTTTTAAGACTTTTATTAAAATTATAATAAATAATCAAGTTAATAAAAAATTTTAAATCACAATTTTTTGTAAATAATTAAATTTTGCGAAGATTCAGAATAGAAGTTATTATTGGTATCAGGAAAAAAGGCAAAATTCTATCTAAAAAATAGAGAACATATTAGGAAAAACAAATTTTTTGTGTCAACTTTGAATTATTTGAGGAAGAATCTGACAAAAATCGTAAAAAAAAGTTAGTAAATTATCCAAATTTTGTAGTTTAAATGAAACCAAAACAAATTAAATTTTTAAATAATTTTAATTGAAGAAGAAAAATTTAATATTGTAAACAATCAAAAGTTGTAATTGAATGAAAATTGTTTAAAATTTTTTTTTTAAAACTGTTATTAAAAATAGACTACCGAGATGAAGGATGCAGTGTACGATTGTGCGTGGATTTCAATTCCAAACTCAAAATTCAGAAGATCTCTTTGCATCATCATGTCACAATTACAAGTGCCAATAAAATTAAACGTTGGTAAATTCTTCGTTCTATCAATTGATACATTCTTCGGCGTAAGTAAATCCATCCATTTAATATCTTTCTTCTATACTTTTTCTCACCCACACTAAAAGTAAAAAAAATATTAAAATAGCCTGCAAAATAATATTCCAAAAACACTTTTTTTTACAGATTATAAAACTCGCCTATTCTTTCTTTGTTCTTCTAAAACAAGTGAATGACAGAAAAAGTGGAAGTTAAAAAAAATGTGAATTTTGATAACAATTTTTACCGCATATTACTGTCTAAATTTGTAAGAATGTAAAGTTTTCAATTTACTAAAAAAATGCTTTCAAATTAATAAAATTAAAATTAGTAAACATCTACTAATTTTTTATTCACTTTTTTAACTTTTGTACTTTAAAATTTAATAGGAAAGTAAAAGAATTAAACGTCTTTTCATTCTTTCAAAAATTTAGAGAGCATTTAGATGTCACACTATATTTGAGGCAAATATTTTCATTTTTAAGGGAAAAAAACTTGTTAGTCGTATTTAATAAAATAAAAGAAAAAAAATTATGTCTGCATTAAAACACCAATTCTTAATTTTTTTGCTATTTTTGAAAAAACACTGAAATCTTAGTGTCTCAGTGCCAAAATAGATTTAAAGTAATTTTATTTTTCCATTTTTTGTAACACCGAGTTATGTAATTATTAATTATTTTAAATACTTATTAATTAAAATTATTATCTCAGGGTGTCCAGCGATTCTTTAAAAAAAAATTCAAGGACTTTTCAAGGTTTTCAAGGTGCAAAATAATTTTTTTCAAGGTCCATTTTTAGGGTACTAATTTTCAAAATATTTGTTATTTATAATCGAGTGTAATAGAGTAAGTTCTGTTTATAAGTTTTCCTCAATAAGTTTATTTCAAGTAAATTTTTACTTACTCTCTAAATTTAAATACTAATTTGATTTAGTGACTGACTTTTTTCTTTTGAAGAAGTAAATTTTACTAATAAATAATCATTTCTACTAATTTTTTAGTGAAATTTTCTAATTAAAAAGCAAAAAGTCAGTAACTAATTAAAATTAATAAATATTTTCACTAATTAAAATTTAGGGAGTACTTATAAACAATTTTATAATTTCTACATACATACAATAGTTATTCATAAACAACTTTAAATACATTTAGTATTGTTGAATTTATCACTTGGTAAAATTATATTAGTATAAATAAGAAGTTATCAATCCTCCAAGTCAATCAATTGACTTGGAGGATTGATAACTTCTTATTTATACTAACTTTAAATACAATTTATTGATAAAATATTAGAAATATAAGGAACATAGATTTAAGAAACATCAATTAAAATTGTTTTTAAATAATTGAATTCTTTTGGAAATTTCGATTAAAAATAATTGATACACAAATTATTAAATTAAGAAAAATTTTTGAAAATACATTGAAATTTTGCAATGAGGTTTATTAAAATTTTTGAAAATAATTAAATTTTATTACTTTTGAAAATAATTAAATTACTGCAAAGAATTGAATGCCAAATTTTAAAACGAATTTTATTAAATGAATATTATTAAAATTTTTGAAAATAATTGAATTTTATTACTTTTGAAAATAATAATTGAATTACTTCGAAGAATTTAATGCCAAATTTTGAAACAATTGATTTTTGCGAAAAAATTTATGCAAATTCTATTTTAAATAATTGAATAAATGTAGAAAAATTTTTTTTAAATAATTGAAAGTTTGTGAAGAATATTTTAAAAACTTTTGTTTAATAATTAAATTCTTTCGTGAAATTTTATTAAAATAATAGAATATTGAAAACCATCGAAGAAAGAACATTTTTTTAAAATAATTTGAAAATTTGCCATGATTTTTATTAAAATTTTTAAAAGTATTTGAATTCTTCTGATGAATTCTATTATTTATATTAAAATTATTGAATTTTGCAATGAATTTTATTAAAATTCCACAAAATAAATAAACTTTGTCGAAGATTATTGTTATTTACTTATAAAGATAATAATTGAAATGTTGACCAAAATTTTCATTTTGATTTTTTTAAAATAATAATTGAATTTTTGAGAAGAATGTAAAGAATTTTTAAAATAATTGAATTCTCGTGATTGATATTGTTATTTATGAAAATAATTGTATTTTGCAATGAATTTTATTAAAGTACCTGAATATAATTGAATTTCGGTGAAGAATTTTTATATTTATAAAGATAATTGAAATATTGACGAGAATTCAATTTAAAACATCAAGAAAATAAATCTCACTTTTATGAATTTTAATTTTTCAAGGTTTTGTCATAAAATTCAAGTACTTTTCAAGGTTTTCAAGGAGCAAAAAAAATTCAAGTACTTTTCAAGGTTTTCAAGGTTTTCAAGGTAGCTGGACACCCTGTATCTTTTTATTGTATTTTATTGGAATGACTATTCTTTATAATAATAAAAACATAATTTGAAAATAGATTATAAATTCACAGTAAAAAGAAAATCTTATTTTAAGGCACGAAAGCTGCCTTAAATTAAGATGCAACATTTTTAAGACAGTCAATGTTGAATTTACGCACGTTTTTCGTAACCTTTAACATTATAGCAGACAGTGTTGAATTTAAGGCAGCTCTTAAAATAAGATTTACTTTTTACTGTGTTGATCTTAAATATATTTAAAAATTATTCACTAATATGCATCATTTCTTATTTTGTACAACAATAGTTTATTAATTTGAATGTTTCTCACAAGCGGTGAAATAAAATTTTAGATTTATATATGAGAGCAGTTGAAACTTTCTAGAGTAATGTAAAGCATGCGATGTATGAATGCATTTAGAATGTACTGTAGGTAGGTATACATGTTACTATATAAAATGTATCAATTCGAACTTTACTGTCAGTCCAATTTTAAAATTACTCAGTTGAATTTTTAATTTAGTATTTGAAAAGCTAATACATATTTCATAATGTTTTATGCCTTTCTCATTGTTATTTAATGAAATTTATTTTACAGTACCAGTTCTTGAAAAATTATTGTTTTGGCCTTTCACCCCAGTTTTACCGAACTAAATTCAGCATAATCTCAGGAATAAATTTTTTCCGTGTTGTAACTGAAAACTGATTTCCTAAGTTCGGGAACTAACATAATTAAATTACTGTTGAAGAAAATGTTCTGTAATTTCACATTTAAGTACAATTATTGCAGTAATGGTTGTAGTAATATTGCAGAAGTTATTATACTAATACTGTTAATAATATTACGATAATTATTGCAGCAATAATTTTAATAATACTACAGTAGTCATTACAATACAGCAATTATTACAGTAATAATATGAATAATAAAAATTTAGCACATAACAAAATCAATAGAATAAATAAATATTTATCATGTTCCACTAGTTGACGGGAATAATTATGTGCATCATGATGCAGATATGATACGAAATTGTTACCATGAAAGTCTTCCAAAATTCATGATTTCATATTTGAAATGCAGCATATGTTTAGAAACAATGGAAATAACTAACTTGTGATACAATGAGAAAATACTGAAATACGACAAAGGCGGTGTTTAATAATCGATTCAGATTGTTAAATTATAGAGCAAGTTTCAGGAAACTGAAATCAACAACATGAAGGGGGCGTTCGCTTCTTCAATTTTCCATTATATATTATTTTGCGAGTCAGTAATATGGATCCACCTCTCGCATATTGAAATATCATCGATTACTCAGCATATTACAATAGGGTACAAATTTAAGACAACCTCAATGTGGCTCATTTGGGTGAAAAAATTTCTCTATCTTTCTCTCTTTCTCCTGATATGAAATATGGAAGTCTATAGACCGGAAGCGGCATTTGATATGAATCTTTTGACATTCAAGTTATTTGGCGTTTGGCCTTCATCGGTGAAACATCCATTGCTAAGGTTATTACTAAGGATTTACTAATACAAATTTACCAATTTACTTCAAATTTCTGAAGGGTTAATTAATAATTTACTATTTAATAAAAAGTTACTAATGGTGCAGTAAAAATTTACTATTTACAGACAATTTTCTAGTGATTTACTGAAAATTTACAATTTAGTAAAAATTTCTTAATGCTGCTCTAAAAGTTTACTAAAGTAACTAAAGATTAACTAAATTTTTAAAAGATTCATTAAAAATTTTCTAATTATTTATCAAATATTTACTAAAAATTTTCTGAAAATTTACTGAAACTTTACTAAAAATTAACTAGATTTGCTAAAAATATATTACAAACTTAAGAAATTTGTCAAATATTTAAGAGTTGTTAATAAGATTTACTAATACTTTACTAAAACTTTCATAAGGATTTAATAAAATTCTACTAGAACTTTCCTAAACGTTTACTAGATATTCCAAAAATATACTAAAAACTTACTACGAATTTCCTGGATATTTACCAGACTTCTAAAGCTTTTCTAATACGTTACTGAAAATTCAATATAAATTTAGCAAATATTTACTGAATTTCCTTAAAATGTACTAAAAACTAGTTAAAAATTTACAAAATATATACTAAACATTTCATTTCATTTATTAACGAACTACTTTATTACCTTTCCTAAAAATATACTAAATACTGAAAATGTTTAACAGAAATTTAAAAGGATTCTTAAAGGTTTACTAATAATTTACTAAAAATTTAAGTAGTAATTTTTTTCTAGTAACCAAATGATTTAGTATATTCATTTAGTAAATATTCAATAATTTGTAAAATTTATTTAATTTAAATTTGATTAATTTAATAAATCTTTAGATCATTTTTTAGTAAAATATTTGGTAAATTATTGTTAGATTTTTAATAAATCATTAGTAAATATTTAGTAAACCTCTAGTACACATTTGGTAAGTAATTATTAATTCGTTGGTTAATTCTTATTGAATCTTTATTAAATATTTTACTAATTTTACTTATTTACTAAATATTTACCAAAGATTTAGTAGTAAATATTCACTAATTATTTATGAAATATTAGCTAAAAATTTTGCAAATAATTATCGAAGATTTAACAAATATATACTCGAAACTTTACTAAATCCATTAAATATGTATTTGGTATTATTATAGTTAAATATTTAGTAAATCTTTAGTAAACCTTTATCAAAAATTTGGTAAATAATAATTAGTAAACTTTTCGTAAATTTTAAATGAATCTTTAGTAAATATTCTACTAATTGTACCTACTAACTTAATATTTACTAAAGATTTACTAAAGATTTACTAAAAATTTACTAATTATTTACCAAATATTTTTAAAGATTGACACAAATTGTTTACTGAAGATTAATACTAAAAACTTGTTTATGATTTATTAAATATTTACTAAAGATTTAGCAAATATTTACTAACGATTTACTAAAAATTTATTCATGAAGTGACACTCACTTTCTACAAATTTTCTATAGTTTTACTAAATATCTACCAAACTGTTTTCTTTTTTAAATTCTTGCTGCAACTCTAAACAATGAAACTTAAATACAATTAATTATTTCTTGTGAAGAGAAACAATTTTTTTCTGTTCTTTTTTTAAAGAATTATAATTATTTCAGATTTATATACAAAATTTATGGCTATGCGATTCACTTGTGTTATATCGGTGGACATTTGCCGACACAATTCTCGAGTATGTACATAATGCGAGGTGACATGAAGGAACTTGTGGATAATTCTTTCTTTACATTGACTTGCATTGGTTATGCATCAAAACTTATTGTATTTATATTGCAACGCAAAAAACTCGAGGAATTTTTCGATAGATTGAAGAATCCAATGTTTTTTCCTAAACGAAAGAAACATTTGGACGTGTTGAATGAATATACAATATCGGCAAGGACAAATACAGCGATTTATATTTCTCTTGTACTTGCCACTTGTACCACTTGGATTATTTTTCCATTGGTTGATTCGAAACAGGTAACAAACTTTTCTTTTCTGTGTAATAAAAAGTTCCATTTATATATTAGATTATAAGATATTATATCGATGACTTTAGTTAATAACTATAAAAAATATCTCTTTTGTGGAAAAAATATTTCGTTTATTTGAACATTTTTTGGTAGTTTATTTATTTTTTTTTATAATTTTTGTTCTTTTTTTAGTATAATATTTGATTAATTTAAATTGACAAAAGTTGTAAATGAAAACAACTAACTAATTGTTAGTCGTTTTAATACTATACTAAAAAATAGTAAACAAATTATTATTTGTTAGTTAAGTGTTACACTAATTCAGGTTTAGAGAGTAGTACTTAACATTACTTCAACTTAACGTCCCCTTTTCTTTCTCTCTCTAGAGGAGCATGCGCATAAACGATAGTATGTTAAACATAATATTTATCTATGAAAAGTCCGATTTCTAAAATCGATGTTTTTCCTGACAAATAATGCACTTTATCATCATTTTGTTTATTTCATATTAAATATTAGTCGCGAAAAATTAAACATTTAAAACAATAGGAACAGTTGTTTCACACGGAGAAAATTTATTCCTGATAATATTGTTACTGTAACTACATCAAAATTATTTTCATCATTTAAATTCAATTATTATTTTCTAAAATTTAAAATTATTTTTTATGAAAATAATAATTGAATTCCTTAAAAATATTGTATTATTTATGAAAATAATTAAATGTTTGCATACAATTTTATTAAAAATTTTTGAAAATAATTAAATTGAAATTAGGACAAGAATTTTTTTGACATTTATGAAAATAATTGAACTTTGGAGAAGAATTTTGTTATTTATAAAGATAATTCCCTCTGAGCAAACGGATATCCCTGAGATATCTCGCGGGATATTGGGATATCCCAGGGACATCCAAATTTCCATCCCATGGGAGACTCGCGCGGGATATCCTAATATTATCCACGCGGGATATGCTACGTGAGAAATAGTAATATGTTGAAAAATAATTAGAGCTTTAAAGAGTTGAAAAACCATTATTAAATTATAACTAGAATGAGAAAAAAATTATTTCAAAAATAAAAGATTATATTTGACTAATATCAAAGTTATTTGTTTGTGATTTAATAAACATTAGTTGAATTCAATAAAATGTCTTTTTAACGCTAAACATTTATTGTGTGTGGGTTTAAACTAATTTTGGTCAATTCATTTTGTCTATTACTGATAAATATTTATTGGTTAAAGATATTTACAAGAAACTAAAAAAATGTGAAAGTTAAACATATTAAACAGCAACACTTATAATCACACACTGCAAAACACACGCTTCTGATCTAATGACGCGACGCCATGGTCGCCATGACACTCAACAGCTGGGAAGGTCGACGCCTGCGCGTGTAAGATTATATGAGTACATACATATAAAATTGTATTTCTTTCTTGTTTAAAGGGAAAAATATACTGGATTTTCAGTAATTAATCTAGTAATTCATGCATTATTTGTTTAGAATGTAGTTAGAATAAATATTTGAATAATTTAATATATTATCTACCAATATTTGATGCAACAAATATTGAATGAAACTTTTTTGACTTTAATTTGTAAATATAATTCCACACAATCTTTTGACACTTGGAACGATCGTATTCCGTTTAATGCACATGCGCTGACATATATCCCACTATATCCCACGCGGGATGCCCCACAAAAGAAAAATTTGCATATCCCAGGGATATCCAATGGATATCCCTGGGCTATCCAAATTTCCGTCCCGTGAGATATCCCATGGGATCTCCCTGGGATATCCAAGGGATGTCGCGGGATGGAAATAGGATATCCACGGGATATCCCATGCTGCACGGAAAAAATTAATTTAGTACATTTTACGAAACTAATTTTGGAATAGCGGATACGGAGAGGAGTTTAGTATAAGATAAAACAGAATCAATAGTAATATATGATGACTGCGTTTCTCGAAAACTCAAAAAAAATTCTATGGAATTCACAAATGATCGGTTGGACGTTCTAATTCAAGAGTTTTGTAAAATGTTTAGCCTGAAGCGCATGCGCCACGGAAAAAAATATTCACGGAGAAAAAAACGAATAAAGCAGAAAAAAGAATTTCTTAATGTACCAATGAGCTCTCAAGACAATTTTTTCTCGTCTTCTATAGGAGATAGATGATTGGTTCGACACATGTGACTGCCCTCTACAACGCAATGGTTCGCTTGGATTGGCTTATTTTATTCTGACACTAACTTAACGGAAATACGCATACATATAAACGAATTCTGACGCAACGCACATACAATATAACTCGCACTTGTAGATGAAAGAATTGAGTTTCTTTATATACTAACTGAGGAGATTAAAAGTGCGCTTGTGAGAGATGTCAATATACTGAATATTAATTTTAAAAAAAATCATTTTTTTAAAAGTTATACAAAATATTTTATGGTTTTTAAAATAACATTTTTTGATTATAATTAGTTATAAAATCTCTATAAAATTTTTCAATTTTTAGAAAATAATTTTATTCTTAATTTTAAATTATAAATAAATTGACAAAAAATTTTCAAAATTAAATTCAAACTCAAAAAATGTTTATATTAAATTGTCTAAAATTTGAAGTAATAACAGTTAAAACTTGAGAAATTAATATATATATTGTCATCGGTAAATATTATGATAAACTATAAAATTTATTGGAATGTAAATTAAAAGAAATTAATAATAATTAAAAGTTTGGATTACAAAAGCACATAAAAAATGTTACGAATTTGGAACAATGAAATGTGAAATACGTAAAAGAAAACAATTATCCAAATGTTACCGGCAGGTAAAGCAGTTCTCTTTTTCCTTCCACATATTATATCTATATACAGCAGACAAGTTAATACCGACGCGACGAGACAAGCTTCAACATATCTATTTATAACGCGACTTTTGGTACACCCCGTATAGAATTTTACGAAACTTTGTGTTCGAGAATTCACGATAGACAGCGAAGTGGAAACTCAAACCACGCGTTTTTAGATTGCACGAAACATTTTTACCATTTTCTGATAAAATGTTCACCAGAAAATACGAAACATTTCTACATTCAAGCTTGTTTTATAAATTACAACACTGGTTGCAGTTTCTCGACAATTGTTCTGCTTAAAGTAGTGAAAGTTTCTGGGTTTTTGAAAAACTTCGTCAAGGAATCTTAAATATCCGCTAGTGCGAAATTAGTTTCGTAAAATCTGCTGAACTTATTTTTTCCGTGTGTGAGGGTTGGGATTTTTACGAGAATTTTTTTCAAATTTTGAACATAGTTGAATTTTATAAGAAGAATTTTATTTTTTGTTATAATAATTAAATTTTTGCAATTATTTGTAATTTCGGGTGATTGAATTTTTTTAGTTGTTGTCAACAAAAATTTAAATCAGTAAATTTTTAAATTCTATTATTTTTAAAATTGCTAATTTTATTTAAAAAAGATAGTTAGTAAGAAGTTAGCTCGTAATTTAATTGTTGCTCGTACTGTTTATAATGTAAATAATTATACATCGTACGCTTTACATTGCTTTAGAAAGTTTAAATCGTTCTTATATATTTTATCTGAATTTTATTTCACCGCTTGTGAGAAAGATTCAAATCAATAAACTGTTGTTGTTCAAAGCAAAAAATGATATTTATATATTAATTAATGATTTATAAATATATTTAAGATCAATTTATAAATATTTTCAAATTCTGTTAATTTTTCTGAAATATTTTCGGAAATATTAAATAATACTCTTCACATTTAATTAAAATGATTAAAATTTATTCAAAAAATAGGTATGTTATTGGTATTTTACATTTTCTTTTTGTATGATTTAAAAACATTTTAAATTTTACATAATACATACAAACTTTGTTGAAAAATTCGGTAAAATTTTAGGAATAAATTTTCTCCGTATATGGTTTTCATTTTCACTTCGATATATTTTTATTTTCGCTTTAAATGTGAAATAAAAGTGACGATGAAAATGATAATAAAAATAAAATTCTGTCAAAGTAAAAATTGAGAGTGAAAATTGAAGTGAGAATGCAAGTGAAAGTCAAAATGAAATTACATAATCGACCCCCTGGAAAAAATATTAATTTATTTTTAATATTTTATAATTTTATAGTTCTTTCATCTAGCAAAGGTTGAATGTAATATTAAAACAATAATATATTAATATTACTAATATTAAATGTAATATTAAGTGTTACTCAGGCCCTTATAAAGTGAAATAATATTAAAATCCCGAATCATTTTTCTAAAAGTCAATAAGAAAAGCACCTGTTCATTAAATTCAACAACAATTTTTTTTTGTACAAATCGAAACTTTTTGATATTTTTTTTAAAGCTCAATTTTTCAAAACAGAAAATATGTAATAATGACGAAAAAAAAATTTTTTTTTGCCAACGTAGGAAAAAACGTTACTATTTCCAGCATGGTATCCCTATAATACAACGGTAAATCCGGCTTATGAATACACATACGTTTGTCAAACAATTCTTTTGCTAACGACAGCAACGATGAATTCAATGATAGACATGTTGACGCTCAATTTTTACGTGATTATGGTGGGACATATGGAAACTTTAAAGCTTGATTTTCGTGAATTGACAGATTTTTTAACAGTAAATAATATCAAAAATATTAATAACAATGAATATTTAATGGAAAACATTAATTGGAATAATGAAAAATACATTAACGATGATTTAATATTTGATTTGACAAATTTTTGTCAATTAAAAGAAACAAAAATTTCTTCTGCTACTTATTTAGAGTCAACAAGTTCAGGGAAAAATGTTTCCAATTGTATTCAATCATTGGAGACAATTTTAAATAATCGAATTATTAAATGCACTTTACGGTATCAGGCAATTCTCAAGTAAGTGAGATTCATTTGAAGTTTTATTAAATTTGTTAGGTACAATTTAATGTAAATTAATAATTCGTTTTTAATATTCATTAATATAAATGTTTAATTTTTTATAATAATTGGGAAAAATAATTCAATAATACATTCAACAAATAATTGAATGCACTGAAAAAAAATTTATTTCATTCAAATAACCGATTACTTATCTATTACCAAATAAATATTTACTTGAATCAATTAATTTTTATTTGAATCAAATAAATTGTATTTGAATCAATATAATTTCAGTATTTATTAACTAATTAATTAATTAAAAATTAAATTAAATACTTTATTTTTAATATTTTATTTATACAAAATAAGTAGATAACATAAATTAATAAGTCAAAAAATGAAAAAATAAAAATATAATTTAATATAATTTAATAAATGAATAGGTCAATAAATAATTAAATAAAAAAATAAATAATTCAATAAATAAATATTTAGTAAAATAAAAATTGCATAAAGTCACTGAAAAAAAATTCAAAATTTTTGATTGAAATTGAATATCAAAATTATGAATAAAAAAAGTACTATAAAATTATAGTTTTATATTTTTACATTTAGATTTGTTAAAGACGTAACAAATTTTTTTCAAATTGGAATTATAGTGCAAGTTTGTACAAGTAGTATTATTATTTGTACAACAACTTATGAAATGACAACAGTAAGTTACATTTTCAATAAATGTGCAATCCACTTTTTTATTCTTCATTATATTTTAACGAAATTAAATGTCATAATAATGTTAAAATTTAAATTATTAAATTAATTTACCTTATTGAGTATGTGTTTTTTTAAAAAATTATTTTCGTTTAATAAAATTAATATTCCATCTTTAGATTTCTCCAAGTACATTGCAATTTTACATGTTTCTACAATATCAAATTTGTATCATGTATCAAATATTTCTTTACGCCTGGAGGGGGAATGATATTACCCTGAAAGTAATTTATCAATTTATTGTTTTCTTATTGTATAATTTTCTTTTAAATTCGTTTTTAGTTTAATTTGGACAAATTTTATAATTTAATTAATTTTTTTTTATTGAAAATTACTTTTATAAATAATTATATTAAGTTTAATTAATTATAAAATTATTCTAATTTTTATTTTAATTATAATTTTTTTATTACCAATAAAATTTGATTATTATTATTATTTTGAATAATAATGTTCTAATTAATTAGTTTATATTTTGATTTCGTTTCCTTCGCAGACAATTGAACTGAGAGATGCAATTTACGAATGTGGATGGATTACTGTGCCAAATATAAAATTTAGAAGATCGCTTTACATTATAATGTCCCGTTTACAAGTGCCTTTGACATTGTGTGTTGGGAAATTTTTTTTACTATCAGTAGACACATTTTTTAAAGTAAGTATCATTTAGAAAATCATGGAATGAAATTTAAAGAAGTTTCAATTTCTAGTGCAGAAAAAAAATTAAACAAAACAGATTTTACAAACAGTCAAATAAAAAGTCTAAATTAATAATAATTAATAATTAAAAATTTACATAACTAAAAAAATAAAATACAAAATTTATTTGTTTTATTTATTTATTTGAAATTTAAGTGTTCTTTCTTCTTTTTAGATTATAAAAATTGCCTACACATTTTACGTTCTTTTGAAGCAAGTTAACGCCAAAAAAACAGCAAATTCAATGTAATAAAATGAAGGAAGAAAACGGAAAAAATTAATTTATCTATAAAATTATTTTCAAAATATTTCTTGTTCTTTTTGAAAGAAAACTATTTCCTTAATTCTTTCTATAAATTAACAAAAGGAAAAAATTCTATTTGCATATAATTTCTTAAAACTGTTATACATACCTTTAAATTAATTTTTTACTATTAGGAAAAATTTGATCATCAATTGATTATTGTCTTTATTACAAATTATTACTATCATTATTATATGAGTTAATACAATCATCATCATAATCATCATTAAAATTTTATCTCATCTACTTTTTTCTATCCTGCAAATAATTGAAAAAATCCAAAATTGTTATCCTTTAATCATTCTGTTCTTTGTGTGAATTACACAATTTGTAGCAAATCTGAACTCTCTAAATTTTAATTACTTAAAAATAACTAATTTTATGATAAGAAGTTAGTCATTTATTTAAATAAGCGATTTATTAATCATTTATTAATGCATTTCTATCAATTGAATAGATAATAATAACAATTAGTTATTTATTTATTAATGTTATTATCTACTAGCAACAATTTTTTAGGATAAAATCAGCAATTTTAAAAATAAAAGAATTTAAAAATTTGTAATTCAAATTTTTGTTAAAAACACTTAAAAAATCCAATTTTGGAAAAATTACAAATAATTGCAGAAATTAAATTATTTTCAAGAGTGATAAAATTCTTCTCATGAAATTCAATTATCTTTCAAATTTAAAAAAAATTCTCGTCAAAATCCCAATTATCTTTAGGTATAAATAACAAAATTCTTCCCCAAAGTTTAATTTTTATTTTTTATTATTTATAAAGATAATAATTGGAATTTTGTCGAGATTTTTTTGTAAATGTTGAAAGTTGAACATATTTGAATTTTGTGATAAGAATTTTATTACTTTTAAAAATAATTGAATTTCTGCAATCATTTGTAACTTCATCAAAATTCAATTTTTTTTAGTGTTTTTAACTAAAATTCTTCTATAGGGGAGAGTCTCCAGTTGTGAGACGGGTTTCATTTTTGACCCGTAAATTGTAAATAAAATACACCGTTCGAAAGGTAACAGAAATACGCAACTTTTATTAAAAGAAAGTGTAGTGTTTCGATGAACTCAAAAAATTTTACGATACATTTTCCGAGCACATCGCTTTTGTCAAAAAAAAAAAATGTCTCCAGTTGTGAGACACTCATTAAAAATTGCTAAAATTTAATAAGTTTGACATAAAACGGTATTTTTAGTATAAATAATTAAATATATTAATAATATATATTATTATATACTAAATAATAATATTTATTCGACAAAATATGACTATCAAATAAACACAATTAAATAGCTTCAACAAGAGCATTAAAATTGATTTCTTCTGAATCAATTGACTTTTTTCCACTTGACACGCCCAAAAATACTAGAAAAAAAAATCAAAACAACATTTAAATAGTATGCCTGCAAAGTCGTATTTTTTATGCTGCCCAGATGGGTGTTGACACCGTCTCACAACTGGTGATATGCTGTGTCTCACACCCAGAAATTGGCGCTATTTTGAAAAAGGAAAATTAAATTATTTTCAACCGTAGATTGGAACAATGCAATATTGCATCACAAAATATAAGGAAAACACTAAAAGAAAATGCATTACATTTACCTTTTCCAATTAATTAACTTGGAAAAAAAGTATTTTGCATTTATTGAAAAAACGCTTTTTAGTCTATTATCACACACGGTGTTGGTATTTAACAAAAACAGTTTATATATCCGCTTCGGCGTACTCGATAAAGTTGGCTCATATAAAAAGAAATGTTTTTATATAAACCAATCGGCTTTTTAATATTGCATGTTAAAAAAATTGATTGTCTCACAACTGCAGGTGTCTCACAACTGGAGACTCTCCCCTAAATACATTATTTTTTATAATTAATTAAATATATATTGACAAATTTAACTAATTTTAGAAGATTTTAAATTATTAAAATTTTTCAAAAATTTAAGTTCTTTAAAATTACAAAATAAATTCATTTAAAATTGAAATTTTATAAAATTTCAAGTTTAACCCGTTTGAAGTTAACTGATTTATGAGAATTATAAACGCAACTCCTTTATAATTGAAATATTTAAGTAAAATTATTTATTAAATAATTTATTTATTTTATGATAGTTGTACATAATTTAAGTTATTTTTAAAATAAATTTTTGTCAGAAGTTGAAAAAATTAAAGGTTTTGTATTAGAATTCGTGGTAATTTTATAGTTTACGTCAGAATATATGATTATTATAATTATAATAATATTAAAACTATATATTCCAATTCATATTTTATTTTTATAAAAAGAAAGAATTATAAATTTTAACGTTCTATTATTTTAAAAACTGCTAATTTTATTTTAAAAAGTGAGTGAGAAGTCAGCTGCGCGCGAATTGTTGCTAGTTTATTAATAATTAATTATTTTCTAATAATAATTGCTAAAGCAAAATGTCATTTAACTAATCATTGTGACGCATTGCAAAGAAAGGGATATTGAATATTTTAACTGTAATAAGAGTTTGAACACTTATTTTTAATTAAGCGTTAGCCCATCTTATGTATTTCCACTTAAAACATTATAAACATAACCTCAAATATTTTGCTTCTTAGGTCCCTTTTTTATGATGCATCACATTTTGTTATTTTTAGCTAATTTTGATTTAGAGAGAACAAAACTGTAATTGAAAATTAATTGAGGATAAATAGAAGACTACTGAACTTATAAATATATCAAATATAAAAGAGAATAAATTTTGATTTTCAAAAAATTTAAAGCAGAATTTGACATTTACTGTGACAGGTAAAGATACAACTAACATTTTGTGGAATACGCAATTTTAATAATAAAATATTGCAAAACGATTTTTATAATAGATTCACGAGTGGACGTTTGTTAAATTATAGACTTAGTTTCAGGAAACAAGTTGACAATAATAAGGGGCGTTTCTTGAATTTTCGATTATTTCGCATTTACCACAAACAAGGTATGTGAATTGAATTTCTACCATAATAGCGCAACATGCCAATCATTTCAAATTTCCTCCAATTATCTTTATACTAAAGCAAGTTTAATGCAACCCTCAGAGTAACAAATACCACCCATTTATGGAAAATTTCCTTCCAAGAAACGATGGAAGTCTATAGACCTGAAAATGCATTCGGTATGAATCTACGAACATTTAAAATATTCGGTGTTTGGCCATCATCCGTAAAACATCCGGTTTTAAGGTTAAAAATTTATTATTATTATTATTTTTTTACATTCTGATCATAATGAGAAAGTATTTTTATGCACCAAAAACACAACACACTCGATAATCATATACTGAAAGAAATTTTTAAAAATATTTATACAGAAAAATGTATTATTTTTTTCCTTTTACAGATTTTTTCACATACTTTATGGATATTCGATACATTTTTTTTATATTGCTATTTTATTGCCGGCACAATTTATAAGTATGTACATTATGCGAAATAATGTACAGGAACTTGTTGATAGTTCTTTTTTTACATTGAGTTGCATTGCTTATGCATCGAAATCAATTATTTTTATAACACGTCGAAAGAAAGTTGAGGAATTTTTTCAAAGATTACATGATCCAATATTTACTCCAAAACGAAAGGAACATTTTGATGTATTGGAAGAATCGGCTGTTACAGCGAGAACAACTTCGGTGGCATTACTCTCAATAGCAATGACAACGTGTATTACTTGGATTATTTTTCCACTAATTGAAAATAGAGAGGTATTCAGAAATTATAATTTTCAGAAATTATAATTTCTTATCTTCTAAATTCGAAAATTAAATAAAAGACATAATCGGTGTAAGTTTTAAAATAATTCGCTTTAATTTTTTTACTATATCCGTGAATTTATAGTCGAAAATTATTATTTAGAATGAAAATGTCATGAACCCAATCATCCGAGAAGTTCGTTTTTTACCCATTACAATTGAACTCGACATTTTTAAAAATGGTGGGCTAAAGAAAATTTGCATAGAATGTTTCTTAGGTATCTTTTAGTCCTCTTTTAGAATCTGTAAGAAAATTTAACTTTTGACTTAAGGATAAAAAGTTATGATTATTTAAAAATTAAAAATTTGTTTAAACCTTTAAACAATTGATAAAATATTATTGTTAAATTGTCTGACTATTTAAAATTTTAGTTATTTTGGCCGCTATTTTTGAGACGCCATTTTGAATTTCGAAAGAATAAAACTTCTTTAACTTCTTGAACGAAATGGGTTAATATTTCACTTATTCGCCTAGTGAGATAAAAATATATTGACGACATTTTACTTTTCAACCTTGAAAACTTTAAAACAATTGTTTAATTTTTTTGGATTTTGCAAAAAAGTTTCTTTTCGGCGCTAACGACGCTAATATTTTCTATTTTATATTTTGGACTCTGTGAATTTGAATTAGTAAAAATGATTCCTACTAATTTGAATTAGTGACTGACTTTTTATTTTTGAATTAGTAAATTTTACTAATAAATTAGTAAATATTTTTACTAATTCAAATTTAGAGAGCAAAAAGAAATCAAAATTATCAAAGTTTTTCACTAAAATTGTTTTATGATAACAAATAGTATATTTTAATTAAGTTATGATGATTTCTTGATTTATTTAAATTAAACAAATAATTGTGAGCGTTTATTTTATAAAAACCAATTTTTAGTCTGAGGTTCAGAGCACTGAAGTTAGAGTAGACGCTAAGCGTCAAAAACATTTTCTTTCCATGAAAAAAAAAGTAATTAACAAAATTATTTAAAAGATTATAATTCAAACTGTACAGTGAAAATAAAACACTCTTAGTGAATAGACAAAATAATATTTAGGTAATGATATTGGTGTCACTAAAAAATCCCGACAACAACAGTTTTCGACGCTAACTTTAGAAACCAATAAATTATCAAAGAAAAAAAAATATTCCACATAGTAAATTCATTAAAACATTATGTAAATATATTCTGAATTTTATTAAATGCATTAAAAAAAATTTTTTGATTTCGAAAAAAGAAAATTTTTTTTTGTTTCCAGGAAAAAACGTTACTATTTGTTGCATGGTATCCATATAACACGACAGTAAATCCAGCCTATGGTTACACGTACTTGTCGCAAACACTTCTTTTATTAACGACAGCTGCAATGGATACCATGATCGACATGATGACAACAAATTTCTTTGTCCTTATGGTGGGACAAATAGAAATTTTAAAACTTGATTTTCGTGAATTGACAGATTTTATCGTTATCAATCGTTCAGGAAAGACTAATGGATTTTCAAACGATGTTCCACTGAATTCTTCAAAATTAAATTTACATCAGAAAGAATTATTAAAATTTCACGAATTAAATACAAAAATTCCATACGATTTATATTTAAAGTCAATCAACTCAGTTGAAAATGTTTTCTACTGCAATGAAAATTCGTTGGACAAAATATTAAACGATCGAATTATTTACTGCACTTCACGTTACGAAGCAATTATCAAGTGGGTACAAAAAAAAGGTTTTTTAAATAACATATAACTCTTTTTACTCTTTAAATTTGAATCAGTGAAATTTCACTGGGGAAATAATTGTACACGGAGAAAAAGGAATAGTTGACACATCCAGATACACGGATATCACAGCCATATTATATTGAAAAATACGGGATATCCATAGTTAAGGTTGCTGCATCCATATTCTATGGCTGGCTGTATATTGTTGGAGCAGCAAAAGATCTATGGTTGGGTGATCCATAGTAATGGAAATGGGAAACAAAAAATTGGAATCACTCAATTAATTAAATTCCATGTCACTTGAGATATTTTATACACATTTTTGTTAATTAATACACACCACTTATTGAATAACCGCATATTAACGAAATAAATTATTTACCGATGGGGGAGACACGAACCCTAGACTTAACGCATACTAAACACTAACGCTATCCACTACACTATACACGCAACTACAATATTTGAGCATATAATATTCCTTATATACTCTACACATATTTCATGAAAATGAATTTACATAAACACTAATAGACAATAACGATAATAAATAATAAACAATTATAACACTATTTATACACAATAAACTCACAACGCGATTATATAGACGTGACAGGAAACCGACGCGACGGACAAATTGAGACGACCATTTTTAAATGGATGCCATGATAATTAATTTCGCGCAACATGTATCGAAATTTTGAACTAACTATGGATCTCCCAACCAAAGTTTATATGGATGAGACAGCCATATGTGAAAATCCATAGCATGAATTGTAAGCCCAACCATGCCTATGGATGTCACATCCATATTTGATTCAACAATATAATATGGCTCCCTCATCCATTGAATATGGAATATGCTTCCATTCTGAAAGTTGTCTCTTCCATTGAATTGGATAACACAACAATATTCTGCTCAACAATATTTTTATGGATATCTCTTCCAGACCTTTTTTTGCGTGAAATTTAGCGACTGAAGCATTTCAGTAAAATTCTCACTGAAATCCAGTAATATGTCACTGGAAATCAGTTAAATTAATACTGTTTAGATACAATTATTTTCTAGAATTTTTAACTACAATTTTTTTCTAAATCAATTATTTTTAATCATTTTTCTCCAAAATTATTTTCAAGATTTGAATGTAATTATTTTCTAGAATTTTCAACTATGATTTTTTTCTAAATCAATTATTTTTCTCCAAAATTATTTTCAAGATTTCAACTTACTTATTTTCTATAATTTCTAACTAAAATTGTTTGAAAAATCAATAATTTTTGAGAAAGTTTTTTGAGAAATCAGAGAAAAAAAGAAAGTTCACCAAAAATAATTCTAATAACTACGTACCTACTTGTTTACTATTCATTTTTACGAAATTTCTATTAATTGAAAATTTTCAATTAAAAATACATTTCAAAATTTCAACCAATTTCAAACAAATTTCAACAAAAATTGTTCTTTAATTTCAATTGGAAATCGTTTGAAATTTAATTATTCGTGGTGATTTAAAAGTTTATAGGTAAACAACAAAAATTTAATATTTTTAATATTTTTAAATAATTTCAATAAAAAAAATAAAAAATAATATATAAACAGTACAAAAAATATTCTTTTTGTTTAAACAAAATTTAGATTTGTTCACGACGTAACAAATTTTTTTCAAATTGGAATTGTGGTTCAGGTCTGCGTTACAAGCATTATATTTTGTACGACAACGTATGAAATGACTTCTGTAAGTTTTACAATTCCTGAGATTTAGCGTTGACGCTGAGTGCCGAAAAATAATTTTTCCGTTTAATCAAAAAAGAAACTTATTTTTTCATAAGTTTTAGGTTCAAACAGTGTGTTAAAACTTAAAAAGTTTCAGTATTCAGTACTTTCATTTATAATACTAATGAAATTAGTGTATATTTTGTGTTATTATCTTGGAAAAAAATTATGAAAAAATTTTTTCGATGTTTAGTGTCGACGCTAATTTAAAAGATGTATAAGATACCTATATATAATTTTACAGTTAAAAAAAGAGGAAAATTACTTTCCTTTTTATTTAATTTTGTGCTTATCTTAAGATATCTCCGACTACAATGCAATTTTACATGCTTCTACAATATCAATTGTGCATCCTGTACCAAATATTTATCTTCGCTTGGCGAGGAAATACCATTACTATAAAGGTAAAATTGTGAATAATTGACGCGCTCTAAAAAAATCTACCTAAGAAGCAAAAAATTGGAGGTTATGTTTGTAAATTTTTGAATGAAAATAAACAAAGAGATTCAACTCTCAGTTTAAGTTACTGATGTTCAATTCTTTATAACATTTAAAAAAATTAATAAAAACTGATTTTATTTTTACGCAATTAAACAGAAACATTCAATTAAGATAAAATTAACACAAACATAACCTTAAATGATTTGCTTCTTAGGCATCTTTCTTTGGAGCGCATCTGATGTAAATTCATTTTATTAATAATAATGTCTTATTAAAAATTAAAACCTTATAAATAAATAAATTACTATTAAATTATTAAATTAAAATCTAATAATTTAGTAGTAATTTATTTATGTATTATTAATTTATTAATTATTTAAAATTACAAATATTTATTAATAAATGTTCCTTAGAGGGCTAATTAGCCATATAGGAACTTAAAATACACTGAGAAAACGATTTATTTGATTCAAACATATGTTTACATAAAACTTAAAATATCTTTGCTATATACAGTCAAACATATTTTGGTTCATTTAAAGAAATAATATATTTAATTCAAACATAAGTTGTCGTTGATTTTAAATTATTTATAATCAACTTTTAAGTTTGAATCAAACATAAAATTTTTAAACATAATTTTTGTTTAAATCAAAACAGAAAATATGTTTGAATTAAATATAATTATTCAAACAAATAATATTTTTGAATCAAAGCAGTAGATATTTTCTATATATTGGGATTAAGCTCACAAACTAATTTCAATTAAATAAAATCACTTAAAATTATTTTTCTATTTAAATTTAGTATAATGTTTTCTCAGTGTACTTAAATAAATAAATAAATTGCTAAAATAATTGTGATGCATCGCGAAGAAAGTGATTTAAGAGACAAAAACTTATAGGTTATGTTTGTTATCTCTTTATCTCGAATAAAGGATTCTTTTTTAATTATGAGAAATAAAAAATATTTCCCAGGCGGAAATTTCCCACTGGCAGGGTACCGCGCCTGTACAGACGTCGGTAAGACTGTACTGGCATGGATCCGCCTGACGACCGGAGCGGTGCAGACATTGTACTGGAACCTGACAATGTGTTGTAGTGGCTGCGCGCCTGGCTCGGTACAGATTTAATGCCGCCGAACAACCGGCGTTGTACAGGCATTCGTCCGCCTAGCAAGCGACGCGGGCCAAATTATATTCTCTATTGAAAAATAAAATAAAAAAAAATATTTAATTAACTATGCATGGTGCATGTTAATTAACATTTATTTATAGATCATTTGAAGCATTTTTTACACATTTTACATTTTTTTTACACATTAAAATTCTAAACGCTCGCAGTAGGATACGAAGCCCAAGCCTATCCTAATCTACGCACCGAAGTCTAAAGTTTTATTATATTTTTATTTAATCTTCAATGTTTTTAATATTTATCTTTATTTTATTATTTAGGAATAATTAGTTGAACACTTCACTTTATAACTATTCGAAATCAATACAAAATTAACTAAAATAAACATTTGTAACTTACTGCGTTTCATTTATACTTTATAACTGTTTTTAAAAAAGAGAAAAAGATGAATGTAATTAATTTGAAAGAAATATTAAATATTAATTAACATTCACCTTGCATAGTTAATTAAACATTTCTTTTATTTGAATTTTTAATAAAGAATATAATTTGGCCCGTGCTGGTTGCTAGACGGACGAATGCCAATACAACGCCGGGTGTTTGGCGGGCTGAAACCTGCACCGAGCCGGACGCATTTTGCAATAGAATGACAGTGCGAATGTACTTTCGACTCTTTAAAAATTATTAATACAAAAAATGTTTAAAGTATGATGGATTAAATTTATTATTATTAATTTTTATTATAAAAAAAAGCAAAACTTGTCAGATTTTAAAATATATTTGTGGTAAGATTTTTAAAAGCGCATTTATAAAAAAAATTATCCAATATAAAAATAAAACTAATTTGAAAACTAGTAACAATTACTATATTCTAAGCATATTCTTATTAATAAATTAATTAATTAATAATTTTTAATTCACTTATTTATTGATTTATTATCAATAAATAAACAAATAAGTAATATTAAATAAATCCAATCAAATTTATTTAATATTACTTATAATTTATTTATAATAAATCAATAAATAAGTAAGTAAATTAAATTAATTAATATATTAATAATAAGATAAATTATATAGTTCTCAGTCGGTAGAATGCCTGTACCGCTCGGGTCGTTAGACGGACGAATGCCAGTACAACGCCGGTTGCTAGTTGGTATAAATTTTGATCCGGCGGTCGGATCAAATCCTGTACCGCGCCTGTACCGCCGACAGTAGAAAGACTGTACCGAAAGTCGGATACGACTTTGTACCGCGCCAGCAGAAATTCTCATCCGAATCGGTACAGACTGCCTGCACTGGCATTGACTCTCCAATTCAACCGGCGCGGGCCCTAGACGGTTGGACGATCCGGTATTCGTCCGACTTTTCCGCCTGGGTTTTTATTGAATATTTTTATTGCAATAAAGTGTTAAACTTAATTAGTTTGGATTGAGAGTTAACCCACTTTATGTATTTTTACTCAAAATATAACAAACATAACCTATAAAATTTCCTTCTCTTCGTTAGTCGTCACAACTAATAATAATTGAATTACACCATAATTAAACAAAATTTTGTGGTAGACTGAAGAATTGAAAGATGCAATTTATGAATGTGGATGGATATCCGTACCAAATTCAAAATTTAGAAAATCCCTTTGCATTATTATGTCACAGTTACAAGTTCCATTGACATTACGCGTTGGAAAATTTTTTTTACTATCAGTCGACACTTACTTCAAGGTAAATCTTTCTCACTATTTATACTTTAATTGTTGTTAATTTACATAGAAAATTTTGGATTTTGTCAGACCCACACACCGGAATAGTCAATTCTAATGTATTTTTTTACGCTGCGTCCGAAAATGACCTCTAATTGTTCTATTATGTTAGAATTTTGAAATATTTTAACCCAAATGTGTAAAAAGGCCGCTTTTGTCAATATTTAAATGTCCATGAAGTCAACAAAATACTACTTTAAGTTTTGGTTTAAATGTCACAATACAGTGCTATATTTCATCTTTCGAATCTATTTTTCTTATTTTGATTTAATTTATTTTGGCTGAGTTATATCAGTTTTCACAAATTTAGGTTAGAATATTTCAAAATCTTGACGTGATGAAACAATTTCGAGGTCATTATCGGATTCAGAGTAAAAAATTGCATTAGAAATGAATATTCCGGGTTGTGGGTTTATCTATTCGATTACAGTCACAATTGTTAATAGTAATAGAAAAAAATTAATAACATATAATTATTAATGTCTTTTTAATTATAAAATGACTATTTAAGTAGTAGTAAAACATATAATTTTAGTTTAATTTAATTTTTATAGTAAAATAGGGTCATTTGGGGTGAAAAATAGATATTCTGTTTACATTTACCCAAATGACCCTATACAATTTTATTATTATTTTTTTTACTTTTTACACTAAAGAGAAACGCAAAATTAACTGCTTGCGACTAATGCAAATTTTTTCATTTATCAGATTATAAAATTGGCCTACACATTTTACGTTCTACTGAAGCAAATGAACATGAAAAAGGAATTAATGGAGCAAAAGTAGAATGTTTAAAAATTACATCGCAAAGGCGATAATTACATTTTGTCATACGCAATATAAAAAAATAATTGCAAGCTTTTAATTAATTTCTTTTGAGCAGAGAAAATTTGTAAAATAAAAGTGAAGTATAGAGATAAGTTTTAAACTAATCTTTCTTTTCTTCCATTTATTTTAAATTACTCAAATTTCGTCAATTTTTTAAAAACTGCAAAATTGTGTAATATTGAGAAATATTAAGAAACATCTCTTCAATGAAAGCTTTTCTTTTATTTGGGTGAAATCAACATTTTATGGACAATTTTACAAAAGAAAATTATTTGTTAGTCAAATTTAGTTTTTTTCTAAATATTAGTTTCTTAATAAAAACTATGTTTATAACAAACAAAACAGAATTGTTTTCTTGGTGAAAAGTATGTTTCTCTTTTCAATCGTAATTTATAAATTTTTGTGAAATCTACAAATGAGTGTGTTTTATAAATTAGTTATTAAAAACAATAAATATAGAAAATGATTTTTTTTTACTTCTCAACATGGAGTTTTTCGTTTTTTCCCAAAAATTATATTTTTGTTCCAAATAAAGAGTGACCTCCAGTGATGAATTAAAATTGAATAAAATTCTAAAGATGGAATTTTTCCAAAAACAATAAATGTACAATATGCGAGTGTTAGAATCTAAACCCATATCATTCAAGAAGTCCGTTTTTCCCTTTACGTTTGTACTCGCCGTTTTTATTTATGGTAGGCTAAAAACAATTGATAAACAATCTTATAAATAAATTAACACGGAAAATTTCTGCACATAGGTTTATTATTTACACAGAAAAACTAAAAAAACTGTTTTTCACGTACAAAACAAAAAATTTTGTGTAAATATAATGAAGTTTTTTTTTTGAAATAGGAAGTTTTAAAAATTAGTAAACTTTTGATTTATTTCGCTTTGGGTGTCAACTTCAATATTCCGATGTGATAAAGAATTTTAAGTCTTACATAAATATATTAGAAACTATTTTTGTTATGAACGCCATGTGAATACAGTGAGTGCTGCATAGGGTGGTCTAAAAAAAGTAAAATCGGAATTTTAATGCTCTCACCCCCTAGGATTGTTCTATATGGAGAAAAAAATACCCCTATTGTTTGAAAATAATAGTTATTTTCGTATCAAGGGCGCAATATAGGTGATTTCGCCAGAGTCGTAATCACCTATTTTGCGCCCATGATGCTAACATATTTTTTTGTCCTAACTGCATGGAAAGTATGTCATTGAGGGCACGAACTATTAAACGCTTATATTAATTAAAAATTAAACCCTATATAAATGTTAACTCTTTGAAGTCTATAATGATAGACGTTTTAATATAGAAATAAGAAAACAATGTATTTAAAATTGACAATTTTTCCAACCGAAATGGGAACAAAACCAAATTTGTCATAATTTTTTTTAGAGAAAATCGAAAAAAATTGCACATTTTTATAGACAAAATAAAACAAGTTAAAAATGTTTTCATTTTTATAGTTAACATAAAAAGAAAGTCGAAAATATCGCATTTTAGTGAAGAAAATCGAATAATTAACATGCGGGCGCAAAATCCTCTCCGCCAGTTCGGAGGAAGGGGAAGCGGGCGCAAAATATTTTGCGCCCGCTTCCCCTGCCCCTGGGTGGGAATGAGATACTTTGCGCCCGCTCTAAGTGCCCGAAATGACATACTTTCCGTGCAGGTAGGACAAAAAAAATATTTAGAGGTTGCTCAAAGCGCTCAAAGTTTCCCATGTAAAATGCATGGGAAAAAACACTTTTTCGTAAAATTGGTATAGAATCCTTGAAAATAAATATTTTACATTCAGCAAACTCTGTTTCTCTTCATAAGCCTTCAAAGAATAGTGCTAAATTGTTTATTTAATCATTAAAAAAAAAAGGATGTTAAAAAAGGGTCGATTTTTGACCCCGAAGCGAGAAGTAAATTTCAAGTGAACTCTTATACATTTTGAGCCCAGGAATCGAGTAGTAACCTTCATTTCCCCCTATACCCTCGGGAAAGTGGTGAAAATCAGGAAAAACCATGGAAAGTCCGAAAAATAAGAATTAAGTTGGAATAAGAGCAAAAGGGATAAAAACATATCATAAAATATTTTCTGGTCTACAATTAACTGCCACATGCTTGGTTACTGTCGGAAAAGTCGGAAAATTTATGAAAATTCCTTGAAAAATGTAACAAATTCTTTTTAAGTGGTCAGAATCGGTTTAGGGTAGTGTAAAGTTAACTTAGATTAATTCCAAAACAATTTTATATTTACAATGATATCTAGACTTTTTCCTGATGTCCGAAGAATGTGTTAAAATCTCGGAAAACTCAGGAAAAGTCAAAATAATAAAAATAATCTATTTACGTTGTTTCAGAACTGGCAGAAGTAATTCAAATTCATTTCTAAATTATTTTTTGGATTAGGAATAACTGTTGCGAGTTTTAATATTGACGAAAAACTCGGAAAATCTATATACGAATTGAAAAAAAAATTGAAACCAAAAATTGAGCTTTGGTAGTCCCGGAACTGTTGTAGGTTTCAATTCAATACATAATTTTGACTTTTCCGCGATTTTCACACATTTATTGGTGAAATGCATATTGGTATGCCGGTTCTAACCTTGTGGAAATTGTTTGGTATATTTATTGAAAATTTTTAAAAATATTTTGTATCAAAAATTTTCACGCCTTCTATTAGTTTGGGGCACTTATGTCTTTTTTTAATCGATTTTCAATTAGGGGTGGATTTTTTAGGGGGTCTCGCCGGTTCTAACCTTGTGGAAATTGTTTGGGATATTTATTGAGAATTTTTAAAAATATTTTGAGTAAAAAATTTTACGCCTTCTATTAGTATGGGGCACTTATGTCTTTTTTTAATCGATTTTTAATTAGGGGTGGATTTTTTTTGGGTCGCGCCGATTCTAACCTTGTGGAAATTGTTTGGTATATTTATTGAGAATTTTTAAAAATATTTTGAGTCAAAAATTTTCACTCCTAATAGTGATATTTAATATTTTATTATTATGCATATATGTTATTTGGAAAGGGGTTGTTTTTCACCCCCAATATTAAAATTTTGATAATTTTTTGTTAGATATTTGTTGTATTTACTATTCTGAACAAGATTATTGCAGAAAAGTTCATAAATAAAAAAAAAAAATTTCGTTCAAATGAACGTTCAAAACTTTAGGGTCCTTCAATTATAATTTTTTTTTGATTGTTCGATATTAGAAACATTTTTATACTTACATCATCTTCTTTATAGGATAATATTTTTTCCAAAATTATGGTAAAATTTGACTAAATAACATGTAATATTCTGTTCTCAACTGTAGAAAAAATGTTGTTCCCGCAACTTGTATAAATAATTAATTGGCATTATCACTGTTTGTAATTAACATGGAGTAACTAATTGATTGTAAATACCGATCAAATTTTATGTACCACTCTACTTGTCTCGTAACTGAAAACTCATTTTATCAAGTGGAGAATTAACATCATCAAATTACCTACTATCGGCCCAAAAAGAACTGGCCCCTGACTTTGAAAGCTCACAACGCAGGTAAAAAAAATCGTAGAGAGTTAAGACAAAGTCAAATACGTAGCTTACTTATCTAGTTGTTTGTATACAAAATTCCATAAGTCAAAAAAATTTTTTGTTTAAGTTATGGATTTTTAATTGAAAAAAATACATGGTTTTTTGCATGTTTTTGAGAATAGGCTACTTTGAAAGCATGTAGCTCATTTAAAAAATATCCAATCGACATACTGATTTTTTTCAGTAATATTCGTATCTTTCTTAAATATATAGTGAAGAATTTTTTTAATTTTTTAATTAACATTCGGAGATTATTTAAATCAAAAATAAAAAGTTATCTCTCTTGCGAGCAGAAGCACAGCTTTGAAATAAAAAGCAAATTATGTAAAAGTTTCTCCTTAGACAGAAACAATTTGAAAAAACTTGTAAAAAAATTTTGTTTAACATTTATTTATAAAAATGTTTTTCATTTTTTGCTTTATTACACCATTAAAGCAAGGTGCAGGCTATCGTAAATCTATTTTGCAAAGGCGCCGAGGTCTAAAATCTTGGGAAACCCATTTTTTCTATCAGCGCTCAGGTATAAATGAGTCTGTATGTTTGTAACTGAGAAGAATTGAGAATTTAAGTGCAATAAGGGAATACGCTCAGTGTAAAGTAGATAGCAAGTATCCTCTTATTGCATGTAAACCCTCAATTTATGCAAAGAAAAAAGAAATAATTGTAAAAAGAAATTACATAATATTATTTGTTTCAAATAAATTAAAATAAAGATTTATGTTAATCAGATTCAAATAATTAAGTTGAATAAGATTAAAATAATCGAATTAAAAATGGAATATTTAATTTAATTAAAAATTGAATAATTAATTGTATTAAAAATTAACTATTAAATTAAAAATTAAATATAAAGCAGGTAATATTTAAATAAGTCACTTATCAATTATATAATTATTACTTTACTTTTAAATTACCTGATTTAAAAGTGTTACAAGTAAAAGAAAAATATTTTGTGTTTAAAGGCCCTCCTTCCTATACCACTGCTAGAACCCCAAAAAAAAGTCTTTAAAGTTGTAAATAACTAATAAGAATAGAAGCATCATATAAAAAAAAGTGCGGTAGTTTACTACTGTTATAGAATTCTCTACTGTTGACAAAAGGGTTTCATGTCCGACTGCACCTTGCTTCAATGGGGTAATAAAGCAAAAAACAAAAAACATTTTCATAAATAATTATTAAACAAAATTTTTTTACAAGTTTTTTCAAATTGTTTTTATCTAAGAAAAAACTTATGCATAATTTGCATTTTATTTCAAATCTGTGCTTCTGATCGCAAGAGATATAACTTTTTATTTTTGATTTAAATAATCTCCGAAAGTTATTAAAGAAATTAAGAAAATTCTCCACTATATATTTAAGAAAGATACAAATATTATAGAAAAAAATCAGTATGTTGATTGGATATTCTTGAAATCAGCTACGTGCTTTCAAAGTAGGCTATTCCCAAAATCATGAAAAAAACCACGTATTTTTTTCAATAAAAATCTATAACTTAAACAAAAAATTTTTTTGGGTTATGAAATTTTGTATAAGAACGACTAGATAATTAAGCTACGTATTACACTTTGTCTTAACTCTCTATGATTTTTTTTACCTGCGTTGTGAGCTTTCAAAGTCAGGGGCCTGTTCTTTTTGAGCCGATAGTAATTGATGTTTTTCACAG